TTACCACGTGACATTGTATAGCTGTGCATATATATATATATATAGATATATGTACTTTGAACATTTCACAGTCTAATCTCGTTCTCTTAAACTAAGCACAAAACTTCGCTTGCGCATGGCCGCCCGCTCAGAGTCCATTACAGATCCTGAGCTTGCGTTGATTTTTGTGTGCAGTTTACCCCTAGTCCGCGATTTACTGGGCCAATACCTTTCAACCTCGGAGATTCGCACGCTGGAGCAGGCCGCCCGCTCAGTGTCCTTTGCAGATCGTGAGCATCCGTTGATTGCAGTGTGCAGTTTACCCTTGGTCTGCGATTTTCTGGGCCAATACCTTAGACCCTCGGAGATTCACGCGCTGGAGGGTGTGCATTGGTGGATCTATTTTTTGACGATATCTGCGTTGCGCGTGTCTGCATTCGGGTTCGTGGCCCCTATCAGGTTTTTTTCGTGAAAGGGTGGGGTGGGCAAGGGATGAGGGGGAGTTAACAATGTTCATGTCACAATGCTGCTTGTGCTGTTGCTTCTCAAAGTTTTGTCAGCCAGCTTCTGTCTTAGAGCACTGACACCAAACCCTAAACCCTAAACCCTAAATTGTAATGTTTCTGACATAGGCGTTCGCTACTCCGGAATAGGTACTTTGCCTGTAGCAGCTGCTGTGGTTCTGAGCATTGCAGTTCAAACCTAGAACTCATCATGCTAGTCTCGAAGCATGTGCATGATCTCTATATATGTACCTCTATCTAGGTCTGCATATGTACAAATTTATCCTTGTGTCTCAATATATAGATGTTGAATGTCGTCTTCGCGGCTTCTGACAATGGGCCCACTGTGCTCAGCGAAGATGCGAATCTTCAACTTTCTTTCGCAATAGCCCGCGAAAAGCTTCGAAGACTCACTCGCTACTGCGTCACGGGGACAGCGCAGTGAACAAAGATCTTCACGCCAAGCTACGGGCGAGTTGTCAGCAGCCCTTTTCTAGCCAAGGAAGTCCCGGAACTAGGAATGTATCGCCCCTGCCACCATGTAGTTATGTGTGTGTATTCATATTATATATATATATATACGGATATTTTCATAACTGTTTATGTATTTATGTATTTATGTATGTATGTATGTATGTACGTACGTACGTACGTACGTACGTACGTACGTACGTACGTACGTACGTAAGTATGTATATGTCGATGTCTGGGTCTATGTCTATGGCAAAGTCTACATCATCATCTGTGTCTATGTCTATGTCTATGCTTGTGGTATTGTGTGTGTATATATATATATAATATTTAACAGGAATATGTATCTGCATGTAGGTATATACCAGTGTATGCATGGTTATATATATATATATATATATATATATCTGTACTTACACAAGTATATGTATATTGTAACTGTAACTGTACAGAGATGTGTATATCTGACATATATGTACCATATAGTTCTCCTTTTGTTAAACCCACCCCCAAGTATCAACTAACATGTTCGGTGAGAACTTGTCGCGTGATGCACACGTTTTAATTTGGGAGGGGGACAGTGCGACTGCTACCCATTACCAGAAAAACGGGTCGCATATGGGTAGACGGCTGGGGACCTGGAACTAGAAATAAGTAGCGACTGCTTCTTGACTACTAACCATCACAGATGTAACTGGCTAAGTAAGTGTTTGAGTCACGAAATTTTTTTGGACGTGCTGAGCTGACATAGAATCCTCTGTATAAGGGGCACCAGACTGAAGTAGCCCACGGTACACGTCTAATGTCAAGAAGCCGCCTTGTAGAACATCCTCCAGAAAAAAAAGGCCCTATACAACCCCTAAACCCAAACCCGAATATTGGAGCCTTGATAATGAGAACCAGGGGGGCATCTTCTAGAATATGTATCAGAAGATATCATAAACAAACCCTCAAGAAGAGTCTTGGCTATTCTTCTGGGTTCATATATTAACCCTAAACCCTAAACCCTAAACCCTAAATGGCTACTCTTCCGGGTTCATACATCAGCTTAAGCACTCCATGTGAGCTGAGACTCCTGGGGGACCCTAAAGCCTTAACCCCCAAACACTGAAACCCCAAACCCTAAAGCCCTAAAACACTAAAATTCCCAAACCCTGAAACCCTGCAACCCTAAACCCTAAAGCCCTAAACCCTAACCCCTAATATCCGAAAACCCTAAAACCCTAACATAAACCCTGAATAAAACCCTAAAGCCCTAAAATATCCTAAAACCCCCAAGACCCTAAAACTCCAAAACCCTAAAACTCCAAAATCCTAAACTCCTAAAGGCCTAAAACCCCTAAACCCGAAAAACCCTGCCCTGAAACCCCCAAACCCTAAAACTCCCAAACCCTAAAACCCTAAAGCCCTAAAACCCTAAAACCCAAAACCCTAAAACCCTAAAGCCCCCAAATGCCCTAAAAACCCAACAGAGCCGAGACTCCTGGAAAGGCTCATTGGAGACGGTGTCGCTCAGCTCAGCTCGGAGGCTCAGAAGCTCGGCCGTGCCCTCCACCACGGTAATGTTGGCCTTAGAATTTCTGGGGGCCTTAGAAAGTTTAGGGGCCTTAGAAATTTTAGGGCCTTAGAAATTTTTAGGGGTTTTAAAACTTTAGGTGTTTAGGGGTTTAGGGGTCGGGATTTTGGCCTTAGAAAGTTTAGGTGTTTAGGGGTTTAGGGTTCGGGATTTTGGGGTTTAGGGGTTTAGGGTTCAGGGTTCGGGATTTAGGGGTTTAGGGGTTTAGGGTTCGGGGTTTTGGGCTTTAGGGGTTTAGGGGTGTAGGGTTCAGGGTTTTGGGCTTTAGGGGTCTGGGGTTTAGGCTTAGGGGTTTTGGGGTTTTGGGGTTTAGGGGTTTAGGGGTTTTGGGGGTTCAGGGTTCGGGATTTTGGGGTTTCGGGGTTTAGGGTTTAAGGGTTCAGGGTTCAGGCTTTTGCGGGTTTCGGGGTTGAAAATGAATTAGGGGTTCAGGGTTTTGGGGTTCTGGGGTTTGGGATTCTATCTTCTTAGTTGCTGAGTTCATAAGCTCCAAAAACACGTATACTTTGAGTGTTCATGGGATCACGTGATCCCAAAAAAGTGCAACGTGCACCCGTCGCCCTAAACCCTCAACCCTAAACCCTAAACCCATTCAGATACTGAGTGACCATTTTTGGGTCCTCGTTTTGGGGAAGGAAGGAGTGCTCGGTCACCTTTGCGCTGCCACATTTGGTGCCCTTCTCCTCGGCTGTCCAGTTCAAGGGGGCATAAAAGTGCAATCTGAACCCTAAACCCTAAACCCCTACACCCTAGACCCCTAGACCCTAAACCTTATAGGCCCTAGACCCTAGACCCCAAACCCTAAACCCTAGACCCTTCATAAACCCATGTTAAACCGTGCCGTCTCAGCTACTGTACCGTAAACTCTATAGGGCCCGAGGGTGGAAACAAAAAAACAAAAAGAGTTTCAGCTTACCAACTCAAACGCTATCTGAGTCTCCGTCTGTGTCCAGCTGCAACCAGTGGACATTAAGGAGCTCTCGACGTCCACCGACAGCACCACGAAACCCTTCTCCCCATCCTTCTTCACATAGGTCGACATGCGTAGGCCCCAGCTACTCATACCTGGTCAGTCGAGGGTTTAGTAGGCCTCAGGTTGGAGGGTTCTGGGTCAACGACATTTTCCCGTTCTGACGAACATAACCTAAGACCTATAACCTTCGAAACCATGTGGGGAGTTCTCTATATTAGGGTCCCTTTTTCAGTCCCCAATATAGTTCTGCACCCTTATAAACAAGAGCCTTAAAAGCGACCCCAATTTAGAGAACTACCCATGTTCCAAAAAACGGCTTAGATACCGGTGGGCACGAAGCCAACGACTGGAGCTTTCATCTCCACTCTGGATTTAAAGAAAACAGACACCTGGACGAAGGCCTTGCCGTCGTACACATCTGGCTCCAAGCGCTTTCCTAGGTTGGCCCTTGAAAGCCTCTGAAAAATATCTATAAATAACGCCCTCGTAGGCCCAAACAGGGAAAATGAAATTTGTCCCAAAGGCCTACCTAGTTTCCAATCTTTTCTTGCAGTCGCGCAGGGTCCACCGGGTAGTTGATGCTGAGCGAGGGCTGTTCAGTCTCGCGTACTGTCACACCGGTTTCTACCGTGCCGCCTTTGTGGATAGGGTTTAGGGTTTCGGAGTTTAGGGATTTGGTGTTTGAGGTTCAGGGGTTTAGGGGTTTAGGTTGAAGGTTTATGGATTAGGGCCGCCTTCGTGGAACTGGACGTCTCCTTTGCGCATGCCCTGGACGACACAGCAGAGCAGCGCGAGGCCAAGAATTCTGGAAGCCATGAGCATGGAGTGGAAATAACAAGCTTGAACAATGGATTTGCTAGACACCAGGAAGCTCGAGGTGAAAAAAGCGGCAGCCAATTCGCTGGACATGGTCCACCTGGAACCCAGATCCCTTGCCCTGATGTGCCCTGGTAGGGACCTAGCTGGGCAAAAGAACCTCGATGGATCTAACAATATTGCGATCAGCATAATTGCAAGTGATATACCCTTCTGGTCCTTGCATCATAGAATCTGTCGCAAACCCCCAACCCTGTTCTACTCCGAGCTTAGAGACCTTCGAAGCTTGTAGCGTTTCTTGGAAAGACAATCCGAGATACCAGGGAACGGGGGTTTCTTTCGGGTTTGAGGGGTTATAGACCCAGGGATTTGTGTTTTGGATTCAGGCTTTGAGACAGGGGCCTGGGGTGTTCGGATTTAAGCTCTGGGGAGCAAGATATATTATAGGATTTTGGCGTCGGAAAAAACGGCTTACATCGCAATCATTGCGTTCGAATCGCTGACAGGCTTCTGCCACAAGGACAAGGACGAGACAACGGGTCCTAGGTACTGTTACGGGGGTACTTCCCCAAATCATACTAGTAATTCCTAATGCAGAAAGCCCGCATTCTACTATAATTCATATTATGTGCACTTACCCTAAACCCTAAACCCTCACCCCAAGACCCTAAACCCTAATACAGAAAGGCTACATTCTACTTTCATGGGTACTGTAGGGGCCTTAATAATGAGAATAGCGTGTTGGGGTATATCATACTATATGAACCCCCAAAATACCCTAAACCCTAAACCCTAAAACCCTAAACCCTAAACCCTAAACCCTAAACCCTAAACCCTATAGTATAGGCAATTGTTCAGGCCCTTATATTACTTAGGACTCTGTGGGTTTGGCGTTCAAAGCTCCGGGGGAGCCAGGGATTCGGTGTTCGGGGGCGGGGGAAGAGGAACCCAAACAGCCCGGGGTTGAGGGTTTAGGGTTGTAGGGTTTAGGGTTTTAGGGTTTTAGGGTTTAGGGTTTGGAAGTATGGATTATTCTGTATTAGTCAATGATGTTACAAAAAGTTCTGTAATGATCACTGGAAGTATAGCTTGTTCTATGGATACTACTTACAGAATGTTCTATGTATTAGTCAAGGTCTTTATCATATGTAATCGCTTCATCCCCAGGATCGGCGAGTGTAGAAGGATGGTATAGGGAGAATCCCGAAAGCACAACCTCTCCTGCCTGCAATGCCCGTGATGACGCAGAGCTCGCCCGCCACACAGCCTCAGCCCTAAACTCTATAAACCTAAACCAAATCTCGAGGATGATCCAACTCTTGATACGTAGTCGACTCAGGGTCTACGGTGCTTAGGCTCAGGGGTTCAGGGTTTAGGGTTTAGGGTCTAGGGTCTAGGGTTTAGGGGTTTAGGGCTTTGGATTTGTGTGCGCGGCCGTCGCGATTGGAATACCCCCTTTATCTAAACCCGACAGACGTATGCCTGCGTGAGGACCCCAATAGTTGGGGGTGGGTCTAGGTACGGGTGTAGGATGGTGTAGATCACGGCTTTAGGATTGAGGGTTTCGGGGCTATTATTACGTGGGCATCGCGAAATACATTTGGTTCACGGGCTACAAAGGGCTTTGTAGAGGAGCTCTAATCGTAGAGATTTGACGACGATTTCGACCGCTTGCTGCACAGGGGTCGGCGGACATTCCGAGGACAAAAGGAACACATGGTGAAACTATACAAAGTATCCTCTATGGTACCTCAAACACCCGCTATTAGGGGCCATGGGAGCTCCATCAAAGGGCCCTTGGCACCTTGGGGGGTCCTGGGAAAGCCCAGCATGGCACACACTAACCCCTAAACCCTAAACCCCTAAAACCTAAACCCTAAACTCGTCAAATCCGCTTCTCCTCTACTTCAGCGCCTTGAGGGCCGTACGAGCACTGGGCCCGGGGTTCAATGTAGGGGTCTTAATAATTAGAATAGGGCTTTGCAGAATATTCTACTCTACTTATTGTAAGGAACCCTGAAGGATCAATATTGGTACTTGTTTAGGCTTCTATATTCGGGGCAGATGAATTTCGATGTTCAGGGCCCTACACCCCAAAAATCCGGGTGCGACGGGGTGTTACCTGATACTAACCTCGAGCAGCCTTCCAAGCACCCTCTCTTAGAAATCCCCAATCCCGAAGCTCTAAACCCATAAGCCCTACAGCAGTCTTCTAAGCATCCTCTCTTAGAAATC